CCAGACAGTGCCGGCTGGCGACCCCCAGGAGGAGGGCCTTCTCGGTTGGAGCTCCCACCCTATGGAACGAACTACCCCCAGAGATCCGGGTGATTCCGGATCTCCCCTCCTTCCGCCGCGCCCTCAAGACATGGCTATTTAAACTGGCAGGACTGGCCTAAGGGTTATTTTTAACTTGGTTTTATAATAATTTTTTTTTAAAAAAAAAAATTAAATTATAAAGGCCTTATAATAATATTTTATTTTAATTAACTTTTTAACGTTAGTATTTTTGTAGTCATGTACCTGTTTTTAAAAAGGCTGTAAGCCGCCCTGAGTCTGCAGGGAGAAGGGCGGGGTAGAAATTTAAATAATAATAAATAAATAAATAAATAAATAAATAAATAAGGAACAGTTGCTGGAATTGGGTATGTCTAGTTTAATGAAGAGAAGGACGAGGGGGGACATGATAGCAGTGTTCCAATATCTCAGGGGCTGCCACAAAGAAAAGGGTGTCAAGCTATTTTCCAAGGCGCCTGAAGGCAGAACAAGAAGCAACGGGTGGAAACTAAGCAAGGAGAGAAGCAACCTAGAACTAAGGAGAAACTTCCTGACAGTTAGAACAATTAACCAGTGGAACAACCTGCCTCCAGAAGCGGTGAATGCTCCAACACTGGAGGTTTTTAAGAAGAGACTGGACAACCACCTGTCTGAAATGGTATAGGGTTTCCTGCCTGAGCAGGGGGTTGGACTAGATGACCTCCAAGGTCCCTTCCAACTCTACTATTATTATTATTATTACTACTACCTGCCTTTGGTTATGAAAAAGTGGTAGCTTCTTCAAAGGTTGTTCTATTGTATTATAATTAATGCCTGCAAACAGAATATTATTAAAGCAGCTATTAAGGCCAAAAAGGGTGTTTTAAAACTGCAAAAAAACCCAATGTGTGCTTTACAAGAAAGCTGACCTTTTAAGAGTAGATTCTACAGAGAAGTGTTCAAAAAGTCTGAAGGCAAAGACAGCTTGCAATACTAATGTTTATATTTATTGCTATCTTTCATTTCAAGAAGGCCTTCAAGAACTGCAGGTCAATCGCCAGTTGGAAAGCAGTATGAATGAATTATTTATCAAAAAAGATTCTTGGGCTTGTGAGGAGTTATACAGTGAACTGCATGCTCCAAATTAAGACTTATTAAAATAAAGTTGGAAGAAACAACTATTTGCATAAAAAAACAGGTTTATTTCTTAAATATAGAAGACTTTTTAACAATTCCTGAAAGCTGACTTGACAGGAACAAGAGTCACTATAAAATTTGCACATTTTTTAAACTCATTTTTTTTCCAATTTCACCATCCCTCTCTGTCTTTCTCCACAAAGATAGAGGTACGTTCTGGAACTTACGTTTTATTATTATATGGTTTATTTTCACAGATTTCAGGTGATAGGTAATATGGTGTTCCTACACAGGTACTAGCAAATTCCATCGTGCTAAAGAAAATAGCAAACAGAAAAAAATATTTTTTTCTTTGAAAATAATGTGATTAATGAAACTATCTAGAGAAATCACAAAAGACATTATTATTTGAAAGGCCCTACAGGTGAGTCCATTCAAGGCCTCATTGAGATAGCAAGGTCTAAATCAGACATGTCAAACTCGCGACATCACGTGACGTCGCACAACGTATCAGGCCGGTTTTGCCATTGCCAGCAATGGGGTAGGCGTGGCTTCCAGATGACGCGTCCGGCCCACGGGCCGGCAGTTTGACACCCCTGGTCTAAATAATTTACAAGTAACCATGATTTCAATTTCTGGTTTAGAGCATATTAAAGAGTTTCCCAATTTCAAATGTACAGGTAATGGGAAACCACTGTTTGAAAATGCACTGTTTCTACTTTCTTTTCTCATGTACAAAGGAA